TCATGAGGGTGAACTGGTGATGACAAAGTATGTTCATTAGGATAATGATATACTGATAAAAGTAAACACTATATTCATGAAAATAGATAAATAAAAAAATCCTGTGTCCAAAAGGACGTATTGGATATCTATCGTTGTTACTAAGATAACAAACCGATGTTTTACAGTCATAAGTGTTTTAACATTATCTAAACAGATGTATGTATATATAGCTGTTACCATGACAGAACGAAGCGTTTAATATGTGTTTATAAATGAAGCATCTTCCAGTTAGAGTATCAGTATTGAAACGATATGTGATACATACACAATAACATCAGCTTGACGCTAACAACTCATTTAATACACAGGAAATACAACTATGTTTTATTTATTTACTGAATACAGATATACAAAAAAAAACCCACGTAACTAGGTTTACGACTTTCTGACGCCATCAAACAATGCAGTATTACATTCAAATGTTTTCACTATACATCTGTCCATTTGTCATATTTAAATTTGAACAATTGATTTATTTTGTGAAATGGAATAAGAATATAAGCCTCAAATTAAACATTTTAATTTAGTTTTCAGAGAATATTCAAAAATTCATAAAAGTGAAATAAATGTCAAAATATCCATCAGGGATTTTTTTATTTGTGACATTTATACTTGACTTGTATAGAATAAATATTTAGAACTATTTTATAAAAAAATTGTTTTTTGCTTTTGGATGTTTGTCTAATTAACATATTGAGAGTGATCCAGAAATGATAGTATATTAATTTTTCACAGTTATGCAGTTCACTTGTAGACCACAATGTATACTTATTTAAATAAATATCATATATGCATGTGTAAGTGCGAAGGTCGTATGCTAAATTCAAACATAACATCGGATATGACGTTTAAGTGTGCCACATCGTTTCAACCTGCTAAAATTTAAGATGAAAATCGTTGAATCGATATCAGGTTTTTATATCTCTTTGTGACACTCTCTGTAGTCTGTACTGATGTAAGATGACGATATAGCACTGTTGTAGAATACAAATGCATCCAAAAATAAGGATGATAAGGGGATATATTGATCAATATGAACGTTTCACACTGAAGTTCTCATAAAATATTCTGTCTACAAAAGCAATGTCCAGTTCATGTTCCTGAGTAACATTGTCAAGAATTGGTCGATAACATTCTCCACTATTGATAGTACGCATAAGTTATTTAAATCATTGTGCAATTCGACTGTTTTACTACCAGAAATGTAATTTTTTAGATAATTTGTGAAATAATTTGATCTAGATTGTTTACTTGAAAGAGTTTTTGTAAGATCAGACGAATAAGCTTATTTCTCCAGCTGATACCTGAAGCGGCAGACCATTCTTTTTATTCTTAATGTTAACTAGTTATAATTCGATATCGAATTTTCAGATTTAGCTCCTTGGATTCCCTACTGAGTTTTATAACGAAACAACTTCTTGTGTCTTTTTAAAAGTTGCTGTTAAAGTTGTAGTGATGAACCAAGCCATTGTAGTACAGATGAAGTCCACGCTTGTGTAAAGTTTTGGTGTATTTTATTGTGATGTAGTTCTAGGGACTGAACCTCACGGTCCAGCCCCTCCTGGGTGACTGTTGAGTAGACAACCCCAAGTATCGACTCCCCAAGTATCGACTCTTTCATACAATTTCTTACCAGCTTTTATAGAGATGGACAAGGAAAATAAATGTTACATTATATCAGAAATTACATGCACCACGTCAACATGTTAGATATACTAATATAAGATTGGAGTACTTAATAAGGATTACATATTTAGTATCCAGGTAACCAGGTAAATTTGACATATAATGATCAAAGGCAAAATAGGTAATGACCATAGGATCGTCAACTAGACACGAACCTACGTGTGTGACATGTGTATATCCTTAGGACATATTGAACAGAATGATATTAATAAAGAATTTATTACATTTTCCAAAATATTTACTTATAAAATACCAAATTATGCTTCACTTTGAAGTAGTCAGATGTATCTACCTTACAATTGTCAATTCTTAACCGCTTTCTTATTATCCATTTTTTCCCCCAATCCTATTCAAACAGTGATCGTAAATCTTAGATCTCCATTTGATAGCAGCGGCGAGGTGATATACCCCATTGCAGCTCAGCCAACCCTATTCACTGGAGCCGAATATACATTTCTGAAGTCACAAAAGGTATATCCTATTAGCATTTTAACAAGTTAAATTTAGTGAGAAAAACACGTGTGTAAATATCAATTTTGTCGTTAAAAATGTTTCTGTAATCTTACACAAAAGAATTGATTGTGAATGTAGCGTAAAAGTAACGGTTTTTAATGTTCTGCAGTTCGTTATAGATGAAAGGGATTTTGATTATTAATATCAAAATTATGTCGTTTTAAAGTTAAGTATTTCTTAACCATTTGCATGTGTGTAACAGTTAAATTGCAAATCAGGACAGTATTTGATTTCATTTCAACAAGATCTTATGCTACAAAAACATACGCATTGATCAGATATCAGACTTAGCTTATATAAATATTCTCTGGTTACAAATAGATGAATTGAGGTTTGATAATTAAAACATGTAGGCGCATAGTAATATGTACAGAAGAAGGGAGATAAAGTCACCGATTTGTTCGTTCATCCATCTCTCCATCCGTGTATCGAACACGACGCCCCGATACCCCTGAATTACAGAGTTATTGCCGTTTGTTAAAATTACTTGTTCGGAGCATGACCTAGCTTGCATTTAACCAAGATGATGAGACTTGATGTATACATTGACCATACTAAGACAATGTGCATTGTACAAAATTCAGTACTCATAACTCCAAAATCCTGGAGTTATTGCCCTTTGTTATAATTTCGTGTTCAGAGTACAATTTCAGTTGGTTGCATTTAAACTAGGATAATGGAACTTGTTATATACATTGGTCATACAATGACAATTATCAATGTACCAATGTAAGAGCCTGCAATCCTTTAATTGTGTCCTTTAATTGTGTCCGCAACATAACTTTGCACACAAGTTAGCAAGGATAATAAAACCTGGTTCAATATGTATTTACATTATACCAATGGGCAGCGACCCCTCAATTACTCTTTGTTAAAATTCCATGTCCGGAGCATATGTTTGCTTGCATTTAAACTTGGATCATGAAACCAGAGATATACATTGGCTATACTTTGAGGATAGACAGTGAACTTATACCTGAAACCACATAATTACAGAATTATTGCCATTTTTAAAACAATTGTGTCCATTAAAGTTTGTTTGAGGACGATTCATCAGTCTGACAGATACTCTTGTTTTATTCTGGTTATTATCGCTACCGCTTTCGATCAGTACATCCAGCCAAGTATACGAACTATATATCTGAAATGCTTATAACAGGAATTTTATATTAGCATCCTTTATACTTAGCAAACGTTAATTTTAAAAGCTTCGACACAAATCAATAAAACATACCAATGTGTCTTCACTCATTGAAAGTCAAGGTATTGTGTTTTCAGCCATTGAAAGTCAAGTCACAGTGTTTTCAGTCATTGAAAGTCAAGTCAATGTGTCTTAAGCCATCGAAAGTCAAGTCAAGTCACTGTGTTTTCAGTCATTGAAAGTCAATTCAAGTCACTGTGTTTTCAGTCATTGAAAGCCAAGCCACTGTGTCTTAAGCATTGAAAGTCAATTCAAGTCACGGTGTCTTCAGTCATTGAAAGCCAAGTTACGGTGTCTTCAGTCATTGAGAGTCAAGTCATTGTCTCTTTAGCCATTGAAAGTCAAGTTATGGCGTCTTCAGTCATTGAAAGTCAAGTCATTGTCTCTTTAGCCATTGAAAGTCAAGTTATGGCGTCTTCAGTCATTGAAAGTCAAGTCACTGTCTTAAGCCATTGAAAGTCAAGTCACTGTGTCGTAAGTCATTGAAAGCCAAGTCATTGTGTCTTCAGTAATTGAATGTCAAGCCACTGTGTCTTTAGCCATTGAAAGTCAATTCAAGGCACTGTGTTTTCAGTCATTGAAAGCCAAGCCACTGTGTCTTTAGCCATTGAAAGTCAATTCAAGTCAATTTGTTATCAGTCATTGAAAGCCAATTTACTGTGTCTTTAGCCACTGAAAGTCAAGTCACTTTGTTATCAGTCATTGAAAGCCAATTTACTGTGTCTTTAGCCACTGAAAGTCAAGTCACTTTGTCTTCAGTCATTTAAAGTCAAGTCACTGTCTTAAGCCATTGAAAGTCAAGTAAATGTGTCTTAAATCATTGAAAATCAAGTCACTGTGTCTTCAGTCATTGAAAGTCAAGTCACTGTGTCTTCAGTCATTGAAAGTTAAGTCACTGTGTCTTCAGTCATTGAAAGTCAAGTCACTGTCTTCAGTCATTGAAAGTCAAGTCAATGTGTCTTCGGTCATTGAAAGTCAAGTAACTATTTCTTTAGCCATTGAAAGTCAAGTCACTGTCTTTTCAGTCATTGAAAGTCAAGTCACTGTGTCTTCAGTCATTGAAAGTTAAGTCACTGTGCTTTCAGTCATTGAAAGTCAAGTCACTGTCTTCAGTCATTGAAAGTCAATTCACTGTGTCTTCAGTCATTGAAAGTTAAGTCACTGTGTCTTCAGGCATTGAAAGTTAAGTCACTGTGTCTTCAGTCATTGAAAGCCAAGTCAATGTGTCTTCGGTCATTGAAAGTCAAGTCTCTGTGTCTTGTCATTGAAAGTCAAGTCAATGTGTCTTCGGTCATTGAAAGTCAAGTCTCTGTGTCTTAAATCATTGAAAGTCAAGTAAATGTGTCTTCGGTCATTGAAAGTCAAGTAAAGGTGTCTTTAGTCATTGGAAGTCAAGTCACTGTGTCTTCAGTCATTGAAAGACAAGTCACTGTCTTCAGTCATTGTGTCTTTGGTCGGGGCTCCATTACGAGCGTTTCCTTCGGGTAGAAGCTGCCATTCATTTTTGTTGTTGTAAAGAAGTCTCTGCATGTAGTGTTATATAAGTCAACAAACACAATTATTATGATCAAAGATTAGTTTATTCAAAGAACTGCAGAAGATCGGTTACAAACAGATGAAGTTTTGCTTTTTGTTTGCCTCGTTTATGAGTTTAAAACTAGTGTTTACCTAATTCAGTCACAAGCATATACACCATACAAGGCAAAGAAAAAGCAAAACCTTATACATACGAAATTGTGTTTATATCAAATCGTTTATGTGTCTGACAAATCATGCACACTATAGAGAGTTCCCGATGGAGAACAGTCTGGAATTTGTAGACATTCGATATGACTTCATCCATACATTACAAACAAAGTACTGAAACAGTGTCACAACCGTGTACCTAGTCTTCAAAAATAATCTCATTTTTAAGCTTTTAACTCACTGAAGTCACTTCAATCTTATGGTTCCATCATTTTCACTTGCCACACATCGTAGCAGATTTAAGATATAAACACTTAAATAAGAAACACAATCACATACATATCTAGATCAGTAATAATGTCAATCGACATTATGAAATGTTTTACAGGCTTTTAACGTGAAAGCTCTGATTAACTGAACGGTCTCGGCCAAACCGGAAGTACGTCATCGCACACGCATAACTGTATAACCGGGACCGGACGCTTGATTGCTTGCCATTGCACTGTAATGATCTTTGGATAAATTGAGAGGAAGAAATAAAGCAGAACAGAATAAATAAAATAAAAAAGGATCGTTCTCGTCTGGTGTATCAGTTGGGTGCTGTCTACTTGTCGCTGTTTTCATTGAATGAGGAGAACCCGTTGAATTCTAGGATAGAAAAAAAGACAATATTTCAGATTTGACAATTCAGGTATGTCCCTATCGCTATCGAACTTTGTAAAGAAAGAACTGCAAAATTGCTAAACAATAAATTGCTTAACGATGAAAGAGACTTAATGAACAAAATTCTTGCTGACTATATTTTATGGTTTTATCTGACTTATCAGTTTTCATTAAATCAAATGATACATAATTTGATATGTTAGACACAAAATTAATCGAACGCGTCCAGGCTAGGATAGAGAGTCATTGATAAAAATTACCTCCGAATCCATTGTTCCAGTTGCCTATAAAGGAGCAAAAATACATAAACCTATAAACTGTTGCCTTAAGTAAATCAATAAGATATGTGAGCATACAATATATGTCTTTTTGTTGCTTTACATTTGCAGGATTTTTATAAGTTCAGGGACACGCTTGTTACCATAAATAAACATAAATCGACTTAAGTCAGAGTTCCTTTTCAGTATCTCACTCAGAATGTTACTTAAAAGATCAAAACACGTTTAATTGGCTATTATTTTCCATTTTCATTTCCCCGGGAAAAACTGAACGATAAGGTTTGTATTTGGTCAGGGTAAGACGATATCACGGACGACTGATTTCTGCCTACAGGTGATCCTGGCCATAACATTATGTAACACATTCGGAAAAAGACCGAATACGGACATATGCAAGAATTAGCAAAAAAAGCTTACCTTCAAATCCATTTTGGTTGTTCCAGTTGTTGAAGAAACCTGTAAAGGAATTAAACGAATATAAATATCTCCCATGACCTTACGCAATATAATGATATTCGGTATCACATAGCGCCCACTCCCATAGGCGTATATACATAATAATTGTTGATTGGGTAAAATCTTGGAGACGTTAGACACACTAGCAAAACGCAGTTGAAATACTGCTTCTCATTGACCAGGTTTACAAAGCCTTCACTTATCACACTTGAATATAAAATATCCTTTGAATTTTTTATTTCCTAACGCCAGACACAGAATACACTTGATTTTACCAAACAAATAATACATTATTTAGAGGTTGATAAACTTATTACAATTGTGAACATAATTTCTTAACAGTGAATGATTAACGGTCAGATATTTACCTCCAAATCCATTCTGGTTAAATCGGTAGGACATGCGGAAAAAATTGCCTGTAAAGCAAAGTATTTATGTAAAATAAAGTGAAAACGACCTGGTTTTGTATCATAACAACGATCAGTAAATGGTTTGATTAAGCATTCTTCGTTAGATCCATATTTAAAGACACCATTGTGCCCATTTCTGACTGCTGACTATGGAAATATTATGAAAATGCGTATGCTATTTGATACCTATTAACACTAACGCATTATGATTACAAATTACGAACAATTATTCATGATATGGGTACACTTGTTTTATTTGAAACTGAAACTTACGTGCAGCGTCCTCGAAGTCAAAAGCTCCATTCTCTCCGAATTGGTTTTCTAATGAGTACAAAAGATAGGTGTTGAAATTTCTGGAACATATCTACGTCGTGTATTTTGTTCTAGTTGAAAATCTACATTACTCAATTTTGGAAATGCTTCCATTTTCTATGTGATAATATGTATAGTTGTACTATCTATTTTCCATATTTTCTGGTGTTTTCCCTTGTGTTAATAATAAGAGTTAGGAAACAATAACAAAAACACAATTAAGTTGATTGAAGGAAAGCTGAAATAACAATACTTACCCATGAAATATTTGTTGGAGTAGTATTCTGAAGAGAAACATAGCAGTGTTATATAAATACCAAATTGATATAAGATTGCTTAAACATCAAGAGATTATCAACATGAGATAATCATAATTCAAACTCAAACGCGATAAAACTAGGGAAAGTTATGAAGCAAGATTTTCACGGAAAAGTATAAGGAGAATAAGACCAGCTGTTCCAGAAGAGTAATCGTCTTCTGCTACATCAAAGGTCTGTGAATCTTCGTAAATGCAAGTAAGTAATGTTTCGTTATAAATGAGAACAATGTATACAACAAGAAATGTACCTTTTTTGCTCGTTAGTAAATCTTACATGTTCTCATGTTGGTATTTTCTTGATGGCTTTGCCATGATTTCATCGAATTTCTGTTCCATTCTGTTTACATATTTGCAGTTGGAAAATAACTTAATAGCTGAGAATCGTTCCAATTAGAGAGTTCACTAGAAAAACGATGAACGTGCACCTTATAATGATTGTTAAGAAATATGAAAGCGACCTATCATGCAGAAAGTCTGCAAATGTGGTATCGTACAAGTGATTGGTGATGTTTACCGTGCATCAACAAGAGTGTCATACTGGGAATCAAGTTGATCCTGAAATCATTTTTACAGAATAGACTTTAAAATGTCAACTTACCCATCATCATTCTTTGAAAGGACAACATATCTGTAATAGAGAAAATATATATATGTGTGTGTGTATATATAGATCACTTGTACCGCGATTGATAATTAATAACACCACCACCCTACCCCACTTCAACGGGAAAAAATGTCAACAGGCCGATTAGACAATCAATTCAATAGGTATCACTTTTTATACTCATTTGATCGACAAGGAATATTACACCACTAAGAAACCTAAAGTAATTAGACTTAAATTCGTCGTCATACAAATGAACCCTAGAAGGATGCAATATTTGTAGGATGCTGTTCAACCTCTGAACCGTATTCTGTATCTAACCAATCACTCACTCATTTCATTTAGACTTTAAAATGTCAGGGAACCGGCCATCACTTTGAAAGCCATTTGAGAACAACGCATATTATAAGTATACGTGTAAAATTGATAGATAAAAACGATGCACGTACTTACTTTACATGAAAAGATACAAGTATCATATTGCAAATCACGGTAAAAATTTAGGGCAACAGCTTTACAGATTTTTTTATCTTGACAACAATAGTATGTATAAATTAATTACTTGATCCACATTATCATGTAAATACCTCGAAACGTTTTGATCAAATAAGGTTTTTGAATCACGCTGTCAGATCTGTTTGATTATCTTAAGGCTTCTCATTCCAAATATTAGATTTTTTAGAATATTGTTGAAGTTGCAGCAAAATAGTATAATGTGCTATTACAGATTATGCATTAAACAGAATGCTTACTTTGGAAGCTGTTCATGTATCCGTTGTTGAAATAGTTGCCCATGTTGCCCCAGTTACCCCAGTTGCCCCAGTTGTTTCCATAGTTCATCCAGTTGTTTCCGTAGTTGTTCATCCAGTTGTTTCCGTAGTAGTTCATCCAGTTGTTTCCGTAGTTGTTGTTCATCCAGTTGTTTCCGTAGTTCATCCAGTTGTTTCCGTAGTTGTTCATCCAGTTGTTTCCGTAGTTCATCCAGTTGCTTCCATAGTTGTTCATCCAGTTGTTCCCAAAGTTGTTTCCCCAGTTGTTCATCCAGTTCCCCCAGTTGTTCCCCATGTTCCAGTTGTTGTCTTCATACATTTGCTCATACTCGCCGTTTCCTTCACCAAAGTTGTTTCCAAATCCAAAGGAGTTAAAGAAGCGTTTTTTGTCTGATGGAGCTTCACTTGAAGGCTGGCTTGATGATCTTTTTGCCTTAAGAGCTGCCATAAGTTTCATTAACTGCGAGTTTTCTTGGGTTTTTTGAGATGCCGCCTTCTAAAAATCAAAATGCAAATAAAATATTGTACAAAAGACACGCAGGAATAGCACTGTAATACAAATTTAGAATTAGAGTATAGTCAAACAACGAAGTAAACTACATCATACAGCTGTTTCGTCCTTGTAGGACTCGTCAGAGATACTAAGGTCCTTAATTTTGAAGCCTGGGAGGCAGCTGAGGGAAATCAAAAGTGATCAAAAGAAAAGTCAAAACCTAGCAGCAGCAGCCCAAAATTAAATAACTTTTTTTTCACACATCAGATAATTTCAGAACAGCTTCAAGTACATGTTTATATTGGTAACCGTACGACTATTCGGATGAATTGAAACGGCAAACAAGTTAATGCAAATCTAGGGGACTAAACGTAAGAAAATGCTCAGAATAAAAATGTAGGAAAACGGTATTAATTTTTACTTCATCATTTATCACAGACAGAGAAAAAGAAGTATTCATGAAAACATCCTGTGATATACACAACTGATTTGTCGATTAATGATAAATACATACCTTCATTTTAGCCAGATTTTCCATTTTACCATCGGTTGCGAACGCAACTGTCAGGCAACACAGGCTCACAAACAGAACAGCTTTGGACATCATGGTGAAGGATGCTGCGAACATACACGAGTGGGTACCCAAGGTGAGTGTGCAGCAACAGCGCTCTGTCGCGGGTTTTATACTATCCTGGGCGGACCAGATAATCGCCCTCTTCTTGTTTTCCTGCAGTCAAGTGTACAATCACGGTATCATTGCATGGACGTGCACGTGAGTTCATTCTCTTGTGACATCCGGCATGCTCATTTGTATGCAAGTAAGAAAATTATATTTGAAAAGTCAGCAAATTTTAATGAATTTTCAGATACATCAAGAACAGGATATTTCTCATGTATTATGAAAAATATCTGAAGTGAGAAAAAATCGTTTTTACATAGAGTGTTAAAGGTTATATTCAACAATTTTCATTGTTCATGTGGAAAAGAACTTATTTCAAATTTAAGTTTGGTTGTAAGGTTAATACTCTTAACATGATTATTAGTATTTGTTCTGTCTTTATGTTTTGAGTACATTTTTCTTAACAAGCGTTTATATTGAGAATATTTCCAGAAAACATAAAATACCTTCTTATCTATACAATTTATTGATTAATTATTTTCTAGATATTTATTCTTTTGAAAAAGTAAGCAGCTGGAGAATGGTCATTTTTGACAGAAAGGCGATTTACCTGTCTTAGAGCATGAAACTATTTTTCGAGGGCAATCGCCCGGAAAGTGTCTGTGTTGCTGTACCGAGAGGCTCTCGCGTTCTATGAATGATTTCTAAGCGATCAGAAAGGTTATTTTGTCCATTGTAAAACATCCCATAACAAAAAGAGAAAATATAATGTTCGTTACTTCACAAAAAACTTGTTTAAAATACTATTGTTTCCATTTCTGGATTATAAACGAACTATGTCTCGCCCTGGAATGTTGTGCCTGCGAACAAAATAAGATATAAAGCGCTGTACGCCTTTGAAGCTAACGACGTGTAGTATTTATGTTACTTAGAGGGCTATCGAGATTTGATGCCAGATTTTTTTAGTATGTATAAGCCATTATGTTTTATTAGTAGATGAAGTATATGTTTAAGTATCAAAACGTGGAACAATCCCCCTCAACCTCTCTGAAAAGTTATTTACCAATGTGGTACTTAATGGTAAATAGTAACTAAATGCAGGCAATAACGTATTTGTTTTTATTTCCATACAAGGTCGAATTAATCGACGATAACAATCTCTGCCAAATTATTCAATTTCCCTTTGAGATATGTTGCTGAAGTCTTGTATTTAAATAACTTCATTTATTTAGCAAGGTGAGTAAAGGGGAACATCCTTTAACTAGGAATTGTTATCATATCACTGCTATTATACAAAATCTAATCCAGTGATAACTGGACATTCCGTTACGGTAAATATGTTTCAGCAAACGCATTACGGTTGGTGAACGGAGGTGGGAGGTATTTATTTTATTTTTGTTAATCACTTTTTTATAGATTACGGAAAACGTCTGCTTTACATTGTTTAAATTTGTTTACCATCCTTTAATAATCTTTATTTATTTTCAGTTTAAATTTTCTGAAATGCGTTGACATGGTACACTATAAGGACATTGAGTTGTAGATAGGAGGGTCGCAAGATCGACTCCACAGTCGACCCCTTTATAATTGATTTGATATATCATTATTAGTTCAGGAAACAAAGGAAATCTTAAGTAAATGGAAAGAAGTATAAAATCTGCCGTCTCCATTGTTGTGCATTATAGAGACGTTTACCAAACGTTAATAGGCTTTATTTTCGTCAGTACTGCTTTGTTCAAATGAAGAAAACGATCGACGAGAAGACCTCATGTGCCAACAGAAAAAAAGTGAAATGTGTTTGAAGAATTATGTCCGAATAGATCCTTCAGGCGTTGACTTACCAAACATATTGTATACGTTGACATTGTGTGGTGAGAATGTAAGTGGATATGATTCTGGAGCCCACATAATATACATGTGAATGCCGGTATACATAACAGTTGGTTTATAGATAACGCAATAACTGACCCGAATATTGAATAATGATGTTATTAAAGACACTTCCAGATAAGGTCAACAGATGAAATCAAATTTACAGATTCTGATGGTAGCATTTGAATCAGCTCAAATATCACTGGTAATAAATATGTGATGCTTTTCCTTTATGTTAATTATGTATTTGCCATTTCAAAAATATGTTGATGAAACATATTCATACTTGCTCCTAGTACTTTTTGTACGGTTTTAATGCCATGGTACTATTGATAATTTACTGATTACGGTGTCCAGAACGAGATTATGGCCACGAGCAACAAAACCGATTTTATCAAATGAGATATTGAACCTACCGCTGTCACACACCTGTAATGTAACAGCTACATATTTACTTTAAATGAATTAGAAAAAAATAATGTTTTAGCAAAAGAGCATTTAATATGTCATTTGTCCCCTGGGCAATGACCTGAAAATTCGATGCAGTAGGTATATATGTTTGTAGTTATCCTGATTAGTAGTTGGTGCTCTTCTAGATACATAATATGCGCAATCAGGTGTACAGTGTCATAGCCTTTGATGCTATAAACATTCGTTTGAAACCGGTTCGTCTAGTTTGCTGTATTGTAGATTTTTGCAAAAATTGAATTTTGCTGACTTGTTAAGTGATGCTCGGAATCTTTAATTAGGTTTAAAAGAAGTGGGTTGAATTATTAAGCAATATAGGGGTGCTCCTGATATCTATACTTTTATTTTTGTTTTGTTTTGAAGACCTCCCATGATGGAGGGAAAGTGTTTTTGCATGTTTACATCAATATTTAATGGCGGATGTATACATTAAGGTTCTAATGTATTTTCGAATAAATCATGTCAGTTGAAATTAGATATACCAGATTACTTTTGGTGTGCAGCCATTCGAAGTGCGGATTTTCTACAACTGCGTAGTAGTAATTACTGATTGATAAAAACGGTCAGAAAATGAAATAAATAGGCATGTGCAAAATAAAGGCAAATCAAGTAATTCATCAAATCAAGTAATTCATCAAATGAAAAACATACAAAATTTATTATGTTACAGAAATAACAAACAAATAAGTAATAAGAAAACTTCTCGTCAAGAAAATTTTGAAATCAAGTTCACCAATATCATTTGATACAACAAAGAAAAAAATACCGACATATCGCCAGAATCTTCTTTCGAGAAACGATGGCAAATATTAATTAAAGAAAAATATAAACTGGTACCCCTGAAAAAATTCAAGGAAAACACGTTTCCTTTAGATACAGCTGGTCTGATTGTCTTTATACTTTTCTCAAGGGTTCCATTATACATTCTTCTTTTTTTGGCCATTGTTTCATCAAATTTGAGATGGAATTTAAATTGATCGTTATATGAATCTCGGTGTCATTTCGTAGTTGTAGAATGATGATGAAATTAGTACAGCTACAATTACTCAATATTTAGTCGAAAAGGGATTTTTTGCTTACCCTCGGAGATATTTTACTAACATTTTCGAGTGGAGATTTACTGCATTTCATCCAATATCAATTTTCAACAAACATATATCATGCTTTAAAAACAATATCAACTAAACTTGCAACATTACAGTATTTTAATGTCTAAATAGAATCGACAGTAGTTATCACTCATTTACAAATTCGATGTAATTTTGGTGTGAAGTGTGTATTGTTTATGTATATACGTGTGAGGCAAGCACTGATACATGTTTAAATTTATCGTAATTACCAGTTATCACAAAATTATAGAGTTAGAAATATTTTAGGACTATCACATACTCATGCGGGTGTAAATAATTATGGACACTATACTTTGCTAACAGATGATTTCTGTAACATATGTTGTGGTGGCTCACTGAAAATATTGAATTGAAAAAGCAACGTTTGTTTTCTCTGCATATTGTTATTATGTAAGTAACATTTTTTATTGGACAATTAATGAATTTACCAGTATCTTGTGGACATATGTCAAATATTGATTCTGTAATTTTCCGACAACAGCAAGTGTATAGCGGGTTAATCTACTAATCAAGTGTAGACCCGTTACGCACAAGGGAACACCACTTTCCCGGCGAGTTTACATAAGTCATCTAAAAATATGTTTTCCTTATTTCATATTTTCATCATGAACTTTTAATACTGAACGTGGCGTACGTATTGGGAATACAAAGTAGTGACGAAATTGCTGCGTATCCTATCTGTATTGAATGAAGTTAATGATGAATATCTGCCTTTCATTTAGATATTTTAATGTAGCATAGGAAACAGTGTTTAGAATATTTCAAAGTGATACGCTGATGATACATCATTGCGTGTTGTAACTGGTGATAATCATGTTAAATTGGCCAAAGGGCTGACTATTTATCTTATATTAAATATTGGGCTAAGAATTTGGATATAAAGTTGAAACCAGATAAAACAGAATCAGTCATTTTCCCCAGAAAACATAACCACTATCATCCCGATATAACGTTTTAATAATGAACCAGCTAAAATTGTAACTATTCTAAAACTAATTGACATCGCGTTTAGTGAATGGTCGTATCAATTAATTATATATCAGAAAAAATATATAAGAATGATGAAATAAATCTTAACAGAAAAAAAACTTATAACAGTTTAAATTTCATTTAGAAGAACCGTACTCGAATATGTTGAAATGTTATGGGACAAAAGAATTAGACATAATTGTCGAACAGTGATTTTTCTTTGATAGTTTCCCAAGAATGTTTAACTCATCAGTACTGCTACACATTTTTATTCCCTAAGTTTTGAAAGTTAAGGTTTTCCAAAGCAAGTCTTTAAAACAAGGATTACGGCTGTCTTTAGATTTACTGAGAGAAAAAAAAATTAATATCACATTATGTCAATCAAGAATTTTTAGTAATTACATTAATGACCTCCATAATTTAGCAGAATCTGGTTTATGTACATGTTGATTTGAACTTCTTGTTTCTTAGATTGTTTGAACTTTATAGATATATACTGTGCATACACTCACAAACATCTATCATTTCTTGTGAGAGTTGCA